ATATAGAGGATCAGGACTACACTGAGACTGGTTCATATAGAGGATCACGACTACACTGAGACTGGTTCATATAGAGGATCAGGTCAATGGAACGACGTTACATTGTTAGAATAACTGTTACAGAAAACAAGAGGTAATCAGATTACATTTAGTAAAAATGGGGATTACCGGCAGGATTACAGTTTTAAAATACACTTAGAATAAAACCCAAACACTGACATGCACATTCAGGCACACACTATCACACTTCTCACATATTGGCCTCTAACGTATGAAATATTGTTTGTTATGTTTCCATCTTTGGCAAATTAACTACACTCCAAATAAAAGTGTGGGATGGTGGAGAGAGATTTTTAAACTATAACTGTATATAAAATGATTTTACAGGAGCTGGATTATTATCAATATGTGTTTTATCAACATGATATCTATATTTACTTTTTAAATATTACAGTTGACCGTCAATTCTACTGACTTCGAAGTGACTTCCTTATGCAGATTTCTGGTGTTCCGGTTGTCTTTTTGAATACTAAAATAATGTGTATTGGTGTGTTTACGTTTCCTCGGAGCCTACATGTAAACCAGCAGACAGGAGCAGCATCAAACACCCGTTCCTCCCGCTCTCACCCTGGTCACAGCGGATGCCTTTGAAGCCGATGCTGCAGTAGCAGGTTCCCGTCACGTAGTCGCAGGTGCCGTTGTTCATACACTCACACAGCTGCTGGCAGCCGTACCCAAACGTCCCCGCAGGACACTCTGGACGCGGCGGGAGGTTTAACACGTCGTTAAATCCCACAGAATCATGCACAGATATCACAGGTGGAAACTCATGACTCAGATTATCATATTATTAAAGTTACATTCATGGCTCAGCCAATCATGTGTGCAGATAAGTAGAGCGAACACATAATGTTATACTTGACGCTTTTGTTTTGTAAGTATAACTTGATTTTAATACTGCTAACTACACTATCTCCAGACAAAATACACTTTACCTACCAAAATATTTCTCTTTTGTATTTACTTATTGACTCATATTGAGCCCTATTTGTTATTATACTTATTTGTGTTCTACAAATTTTTTATTTTACCAATTATGAATATATAGGACTTCAATTTTATTTTTTTCTGTGGCTTTATTTTCAATATATATATATATATATATATATATATTAGTGCTGAGCAAGTTAACGCGTTAATTTTGCGTTAACGCATTCATTAATTAACGCCGACAATTATTTTATCGCACGTTAAGGCATTTTTATAATTTTGTTTTTTTTAATTGAAAGACAAGAGACAATACATAGACATAACAACAAGAGGATGACAAGAACAGTGGGATAAAAGCCAGCAAACATCCTGTAGTCAGTCATGTTAGTGCGCCTATATGCTGACATTCACGGTAAACGCATTCAAACGGCACAGATCGGGAGCGAGCGAAGGACTTTGAAAGTTAGCGGAAAGATTAACGTGAGACAACATCCAGTTTCTTCAGACGGACATCCGGTTTTCAGAATAAGATGCCAACAAAGTATGAATTATATTCACATTAAGTATAAAACATGCTACCTGCATCTCGTGAACCAAATGTTATTGCCCTTTTGTTCATATAGCAGTACTTTTAAAATAAAAGTGCGCAATACACTACTTTTGAATTCATTATTGAACTTTGCCATAACAATGCGATTAATCGCAAAAAATCCATGCGATTAAATATTTTAATCGTTGCCCAGCACCAATATATATATATATATATATATATATATATATATATAGTATTCTAGTTTTATGAAGTTCCTTCTCTTATCTATAATTAGCAGTCGGCGATGCGACAAAATCCTGTTACATGTAATTTGATATCATGATAGCAGCGTAAGTAAGTAAATAAATAAATAAGCAAATAAGTAATTAATTAAGTGAATAAGAAGTAAGTAGGTAAATAGGTAAGTAAGTAAGGTGAGTAAGTGGTAAGTAAGTAAGTAATTAAATGAGTATTATCTTTACTTTGCAGCGGTTGTTGTTGCTGCTGTAATACTTTATTTCCCTGAGCTGGGTCAGTAATGTTTATTTTATCTCAATACACACAGAATGATGTTAAAAGATATAACTAATGTTTATTCCATTAAGATACATTTCAATATAAAGTATAATCATTCTTAATATGGTGGAAATACGTGAACGTGTCATCGATGGAGTCACTGCTCCAGCTCTAGAGTCTGAAGTCAACAACAACACAGATGTGCAAACACTCACTGAGCTCACAGCTCTGTCCGATGAAGCCCGTCCTGCAGGAACACTGTCCGCTGATGTGGTCGCAGTCCGCCCCGTTCTGACAGCGACACACTTCAGCACACTGGGAGCCGTAGAAACCGGTCGGACAGCCTGGAGAGAAACGTACATTTACTACGGTCGTGTTGTTTCATACATCAGCTGTTCCACTCTTCAGACCTGAGAGCTGAGCCACAAATCTGGAGACGGAAGCAGCTTTTCTGTGATTGGCTAATCTGTTCTGTCTCTAAAGATTAAACCAAACCACGTTTGCATTTTAGGCAGATTTAAACAGAAACTCCTGAAGACTCGATAGAGTGGTTGTTTGTCTGTCGGCCGTCTTGTTTCTGGTGACGCAGCAGCAGCAGCAGACTCCAACAAATCAAGGAACAAGACATTCACACAGGTTGTAAACAAACCCAGAAATATAGACTAATGTGGACATAACTGTGTTGTACACATCCATTAGATCCAATGTGTTTCTGGGTCAGTTTGGACCCTTTATACTTATGTATATATGTACTTATTATTTTTTTTACAATGCAATGGTCGCTCAAAACAAACACTTGTGATGTTTGTTTGGATAATTTGACTAAACCACTAAAACACTAACCCACTAAAACACTAAACCACTAAAACACTAACCCACTAAAACCACTAAAACACTAAAACACTAAAACACTAAACCACTAAAACACTAACCCACTAAAACCACTAAAACACTAAAACACTAAACCACTAAACCACTAAAACACTAACCCACTAAACCACTAAAACACTAAAACACTAACCCACTAAACCACTAAAACACTAAAACACTAACCCACTAAAACACTAAAACACTAAACCACTAAAACACTAAAACACTAAACCACTAAACCACTAAAACACTAACCCACTAAACCACTAAAACACTAAACCACTAAAACACTAAACCACTAAGCTAAAAGAGGACTAGTGTTCTAGTGATGACGTTTAGTCGTCTCATTTAAACTCTTGTTAGCACCACCTTTTTTAAGACACGTAAAAGCTTCTCAATTCACCGTTTACTGACCTATTGTATTGACTCTAAATGGACCATAATGTACTAAATGAACATCATGCTGTATTGAAGAAGACTTGAAACTAGAGATTGAGACCATAAACTCATGTTTACAATGTTTACTGAGGTAATAAATCAAGAGAGAAGTAGAGTCATTTTCTCATAGACTTCTATACAACCAGAGGAGTCGCCCCCTGGTGGACACTAGAGAGAATGCAGCAGAAACTGACTTCACTTCTCAGAACTGGAGGTTGCTGCCTGGTCTGAACTAACTGAACTGAACTACAGCTGTGAAAGTGACCTAAGAACATGATGGGGTCAGAAAAACATGACTTTATAGAATATGGTTTTGTTTCCTGAAACAAAGGAAACCTACGAGGAAGCTACTTGGGCGGCAGCGAACTCTACGAAGATGAAGGGAAGGAGGAAGGAATCAAAGAAAGGAATGAATGTCTTTGAGGATGGAGTTTTTTTTATCTGCCACCAGATGGAGGTGCAAGTATGAGACATTCAAAACAGGGGAACTCTGTGACTCCACTGCAAGAAGTGAGAGCCAATCGATGATGTGCTCTCACACTTGCAGCCAGAGAGTGTATCACTGTTTCCCTTATTAGATCTGTGTATGTGTGTGTGTGTTAGTGTGTCTGTGTGTGTGTGAGGCGTACGCTGAGTGCAGAAGAGTCCCGTCCATCCAGGGCTGCAGTCGCACACTCCGTCTGTGGCGCTGCACTGGGCTCCGTTGTGACAGTTACATGTGTGGATGCAGTCTGGACCCCACGAGCCCTGAAAACACGCTGCCAACAACACACACACACACACACACACACACACACACACACACACACCAACAGACGTCACCATCCTGAGGACCGGCTGTAACAGAGATCAGGGCGGTCTGTGCTTTCATTAGCTTCACAAGTGACTAGGTGATTGTGGTAGTTCTGTTAAATGCCAGATGGATAATTAATGGAAGAGGCAATGGAGTAATTGCCTTTATTTTTTTCCCCGAGTTGCCTCTGATTGGTTCAGGATCAACCCAAGTGGTCGATAAGTGATGTGAGAGAGAGAGAGAGAGTGTGAAGGAGGAGGCGTCTTACGTTTAGAGCAGTCCCCGCCGATCCATCCAGGGTAGCACTGACAGGAGCCGTCGATGGGGTTACACGTACCGTTGTTGGTGCACGAACACGCCTCCGCACACGCTTTACCGAACTTCCCCCCTGGACACACTGTGGGGACGCACACGTATATACATATACGGTTAAATAACTGTCACTCATAGTGGTGCAACGGATCATAAAACTCACAGTCCTCATCGGATCACGGATCAGAGTCACGAATCGGATCAGCACAAAAAAATAATATATAAGAAATATAACTTTTAAAGAACCCCGATCACGTTTTTATTGCTGCCGATAATAATTGGTGATCATTGATGATCTATATTAACAGATAGAGATCCCTTTGTTTGATCATAGCAGCGGGCAGTGTAGCTGGTGAACATGTTCTCTGTAGGGCTGTGCCACATCCAATCAATCTCAGCAAACATCCCAGAATGATTTAATGCAAAAACATTAAGGTATCAAACACGTATTACTACTTTACAGTTAAATATTTAACCTTAATTCCAACATGAAAAAAAGCAGAAAATAACACTTTGACAAACACGTCAGGACATCTTATTATAGTCTCAGTATAATATAATAATATATATATCATATAATAATATATATATCATATAATAATATTCTGTATAATATAATAATATATATATCATATAATAATATATATATCATATAATATTCTGTATAATATAATAATATATATATCATATAATAATGTATATCATATCATAATATTCTGTATAATATAATGTATATCATATAATAATATATATACATCATATAATAATATTCACTATAATATAAAACACACATATACGTATATAATGATGTATTTATAACTATATATCATGTCTCAGCAGGTGCTTCATGTCCCTCACTCCCTAACTGTCCGTGCTGGATCTGTCCCTTTTGTTTTAAAAAGCTAAATACGTTATTAGCATGACGTCATGCAGCTAGCCTAACCTGTCTGGTGTTCAGCTAGTGGAGAAGCTTCATGGACTGCTTCCCTTTCCCGCTAGTCTGCTGTCTGATTGTGAGGTCAGGCTGATCTGGTATCAGCTCTTTGGCCTGAAGGTTCTCCTCAAAGTTCTCCTCTCAAACGGGTCTTGGGGGAGGATCGCGAGGATCGCTTCCGGTTTCAACTTCCGGTTCAAGCGAGGATGCTTCCGGTTGAAACCGGTTCAACCGGAATCGAGGAAATGACAAATAAGAGACTTCTTATTTAAGACTTAAGACTTCTCTTAATTGTCATTTCCTCGATCCTCGCTCGCTAAATCCCCACTAAATGAGTAAAATTGACAAAATGATTTACCCAAAAATGACATTGTGCATTACATAACCATTGTACTATTTCTTGGTATGGTTTTTCTATGTAATGTGCATGTTTCCACCGTTTGGAAAATAAATATTACAAATCGAAAAAAAGTTCTGTTCATGACAATACCAGCGGTAAAAGTACTGCGATACCACAGTGTAGAAATACTCTGTCACCAGTAAAATCAATCAATCAAAAGCTTACTTGAGAAAAGTACATTAAAATATACTGATAATAAAATATAGGTATACGGTGTGTGTTTAACACAAGCTGAATAGATTTGAATGTTTAGTTCTACGATATAAAATACTGTAAATACTCCTCTAGTGAATCTAGAGGCTAAATGAAACTATTACTGTCATCAAGAGATCTTAATGTGACTCATGCAATCTTAAAATAAAGTGTTTTAGGGACACTATGACATTAATACATGAGGGATGGTTCAATTATTCTTAATTTTCATCAAAAAAGATTGATAAATTATATTTAAATTGGTATATTTCAAACTGTAATCACTGAGTGGGAGGAAGACAAGAAGCGACAGGAAACCGCTAGAATAAAAGAAGGAAGACAATCTCAGATAATAATAATGACTTAAGATAATAATTAAATGAGATTTGATTCAAAGGAAAATGAAAGACTCAGAACAAAACTCACGTTAATCACTATTATTGCTGTGTACTTATCTTTAATTTGATCAACTTTTTCTTTCAATGTGCAATCATGAAACATAACTACTTATATGAAGCAGACTGAAATGATTCATCACGGCTGATTGTTCCTGATATGATGAGAGTCTCTGCAGAAAACAGGACGAGGTGGAGAAATGGATCTGGAAAGAGGTTTCTTAATCATTTTAGGGAAATGCACATCCTTCAGCTTAGGGATGTAATACTTTTTATATATTCAGATCTCTAAATGTAGTTACACTGTTAAAATAACGAGACGCAGACACCGTAGCGTCTGACGATCACACACTAATGTGCTCTGGGGTTTTCTTGATTATTGCCAATTAAAGCCAGAGAACGAGCTGCTCCTCTTCTGCGTGTTCATGTATTAACGTAGAGTTTGGTTTGAACTGAAATGTGTGAGTTTATTAAGTTAAGTGTTGATGTACAGTGTTCCACCAGGAACAATGCAGAGGAACGGTCACCTTTAAAAACAGCTCAAAACTAAGAAATGTGAGTTTGCATTTAAAGTGACCTCACTTATAAATGTTTAACGAGTGTTTGCGTTGCGTAATTATGACACAAAACAAGATACAGTGTGTGCTTGAAGTCATCTGCATTAAATATTACAGCCGTATTACTATTACATGAGCGTGTGCTGCTGTTTCCTCCTCAAGTTAATGTTTAAGATAATAAATCATATATATATACATGAGCTCTGTAGATATTCATTACTTTACATTACTCTTCTCCACTCATTTGCATTTTACTACCACGTTCCACCTGTTCACAGAATGTATTGTCTTCATTAGCAGGTTCTGCCCGTCGATGCTTAAAGGAGCCGTTAGCCCGCCGTGCATATTGTTTCCCTACAAGAATAAGAACCCAGAAGGGGAATCTTTACCACAGATCGTTATGAATGCTTTAATGAAGTCCCTCCACTTATGTAACAGTAACCAATGTGTGACTAGTGTCTGTAGAGTCTGGATCAAAGAGATCCACGTACGTATGCGTACAGAAATAATGAGAGGAGCGGGACCGCTCGGCTGCTCCCTGATGACCTGCTGTCCACTCAGCGCTCAATTAGCTTTTAGCCCAAACTCTGTGGTGACTCATCGAGTCCGTTCAACTCTTTGGTCCAGAGACAAACATCCAGACAGCTGCTGTTCCCTGATCCTCCTCCTTCATATAGAACGGGTCAACAGTCACAACACGTTAATCTGTGACACGATACTTTTAAAATCTTCAGTTTCAGCTCTAACTTCAGCATAATGTTAACAATATACAAACATAGCATACTAAACGTTATGTCAGCAGTGTATTTTAGATAGTTGATGTATTTCAGAAACCTTTCTTGTTCTCTTTGTTGAAATTATCTTTAAATCTTGACAGCAGTCAATAAATCAAATGCTCTGATAGAAAATGAAACCTGTGGCTCTAATAAGGCGTCCAATCATTTCAATCGGCCTCAATGTAATGATTGGACAACCTACCTACCTGTCTACCTACCTACCTGTCTACCTACCTACCTGTCTACCTACCTACCTGTCTACCTGTCTACCTACCCGTCTACCTACCTACCTGCCTGTCTATCTGTCTACCTACCTATCTTCCTGCCTGCCTGTTTTACTGTGTACCTGCAGTCATGACGGACGCAGCATCGCGTAACTGTTTATGCCAACATGTTGTGTTCAGGAGCACCTCCGTGAATTTCATTTCTAGGTACAATTTGCACCTTAATATAGATCAAAAAGTGATTAATTCCTTAATTAATTAAGAAAGAATGATTCGTGGGATAAACCAAAGCTTAGAAATGAAATTCAATCTAAAGAAACTATAAAGAAAAAGTACTTTACAGAGGCAGAGCTGTGAAGCGGTCCCACTGGCAGGTAATGTATGAAGAAACAAAAGCAGTCCTTGAAGTGTTGGAGGGTGAGTTTCATGCTGCAGGTACATTTGGAAACATTCCTTCACAGAAGCTTGTGTTGGTTGTTTCTATGTTGAGGAGACATTTCTTTTGTTGAGGTTTAATCGATAACGAATGGAGACAAAGAGAGAGGTCGCCGTATTATTCTCTCTTATGTAAATGTTACATCTTGAGCACTTAAAAAAAAGAGAAATGAGATTTCTTCATTAAAGCGGTGAAATGTACACAGAACAGAGAGTTTACCCGTCGATAACATCATCAGCTCGTGCAAAAGGGCATCGCACATCCGGAGGACAGCGATGGAGCCGGACGTCTGATTCACCCGAGGCCTGCTCAGAGACGCAGCGGCCGGCAGAATGGTTAATGTAGGACGGTCTTCATGTTTAATGATGATGAATATTTCACGGCACACTCCTCCACTGTCTTCATTTAAAATTCGACTTGGCAACGGACTTTGGGCCGACGCGCCTTCATTGGAGAATTAACACCTGTTTAACCGCAGAGGAGCTCAACCACACTGAAATAATGATGCACAGGAGAAAGCCACGGAAAAGACAAGTCGGATAGAATGAAGAGGCTGTTAAAAGGGACACCGAGTGAGCTCAAGGTTTCCATTTGGTCTTTTATTACCCGGTGAAGTGCAGACATTCAAGTGCTCTGCTTTGTGAGCAGAGCTTCCATTCTAACCTGAAGTTAATTAGAGATGTCACAACAAAAAATAAAAAAGGTTGTGTAAACGCAGATGTCAAGAGGCTGTTTGTGTACCAGCTGTGTTCTGTCTCGTTTCTAAATAACCCGTCTGTTGGTTAGAAAACAGCTCCTGGAAGTGTGAAGTGTGAGGAGGCGGTTAGGAAACAGCATCACGTGAGATGAAATCCTGCCACAACTTCCTGAGAGTTTGATCGACTCAGAAACTAAATATGAAAGTGTGTGGAGTGTGTGGAGTGTGTGGAGTGTGTGGAGTGTGTGGAGTGTGTGGAGTGTGTGGAGTGTGTGGAGTGTGTGGAGCGCGTGCAGCGCGTGCTCTCACACAGCAATGGGTGTGAAAAACATGTTGGTCGCTCGAGTTAATGGAAACTACTGTTACTGTTACTGTTCGAGCAATGAAACATCTGTGAACACGTAAACAAAAGTGAAAACTAGTTCAGTCGGCCACCGCTGCTATGTTTACACAACCACATGAACGATCGGACAAAAGACTTAAAAAAAATATATCTACCGGCTGAGACAAAGCAGGACAGGAGGACAGACAGAGGACAGATGACAAGAGGAGAGGAGGACAGAAGGACAAAGGGCAGTAGGACAGAAGACAGATGACAGAGGACAGGAGGACAGAGGACAGAGGACAAGAGGACAAAGGAAAGAGGACAGGAGGACAGAGGAAAGAAGGACAGAGGACAGGAGGACAGAGGAAAGGAGGACAGAAGACAGGAGGACAAAGGACAGAGGAAAGGAGGACAGAAGACAGGAGGACAAAGGACAGAGGAAAGGAGGACAGAAGACAGGAGGACAAAGGACAGAGGAAAGGAGGACAGAAGACAGGAGGACAAAGGACATGAGGACAGAAGACAGGAGGACAAAGGACAGGAGGACAGAGGAAAGGAGGACAAAGGACAGAGGACAGGAGGACAGAGGAAAGGAGGACAGAGGATAGGAGGACAGAGGAAAGGAGGACAGAGGAAAGGAGGACAGAGGACAGGAGGACAGAGGAAAGGAGGACAGAGGAAAGGAGGACAGAGGACAGGAGGACAGAGGAAAGGAGGACAGAGGACAGGAAGACAGAGGTTGTTGATAACATAACTGTTGCTGCTCTAGAAACAATATTTAGATTTAATTAAAAAATAAATTCTAATCCTGTTCTGACTTTATTCATTTATCTCTAAATTAGTTTTTTTTAAATAATGATTTATTAATGTGGAAGAGCAGAGTATTGATAAAATGAGCTCCTTGTAGTAGTACAATCCTAAAGGTAACCTGAAGATTACCTGAAGGCCACCGTAGTTCTCCAACACGCCTGAAAGGGAGGGGCTGAGGTGTATTTAGTTAATTGCAATCTGCAAATTCACTACTAGAGGTCACTAAAACGTACACACTGTTCCTTTAAGGTTGAGCATGAACCTCGAGTAGTTAGGGTCAGTATAGAGGATGCCAAGAAGAGCACTGGGATTCCTAATAAAGCCGCAAAAATAGACAAATTAAATGTTCAGAAGGTCTATTCCTCAAAACTTCAGGCAAAGAATTTTAAAGTGAGAGAGAGAGAGAAGCCTTATTTGAGTCTGTCAGTATAAAGGTTTCAGTTCCCACCAACTCTCTGAAGACGCTGATAGCTTCACTGTGACGGTGTGTCTGTCAGCGATGCTCTTTGTGACTGTTTCTGCTCATTTGCATAGAAAAGGGGCCAATTTGGGGCCAAATGTCTGCTGCATATGACCTCATTTAAATACGTGCAAATAACTCAGGATGCTGTTTATTTGGCCGCATTCTTTGAGAATTACACGGTTTATTTTTTTGTCTCATTTGTGCAGGTTTAGCAGCTACAAAAAGCTGCACAATCATTTTTTAGTGAATTCAGTGTAAAGTGAACTTCAGCCAAACAAGCACAAATGAAACTTCCCGCGTTCACATAGCCACGAGGGTTTGTGTGCTTGTTTTCTGAAGGGAGGCTTTAAAAAACTTGCATCACTTATTGTTACTCCAGAGATGTAACAAAACAAAAAACTAAACAGTTTAGTCCATGAAGCCGACACACGAAGGACTGAAGGGAAACTGACCTTGATTACAGAGCGAGCCGAAGAAGCCGGAGAGACATTCACAGTGACCGCTGACATGGTGGCACGCCCCGTCGCTGTGGACACACCGAGGACACGACTGGCTGCAGCGATGTCCGTAGAAACCAGGCGAACACGCTGCGCACACACACACACACACACACACGCGCACACACACATCGCTGTTAGTGTGGGTGTGACAGAGAGAAAAGTCCATTTCAGAGTCTAAAGGGAACCTGTGATTGGTTCTCTTATTAGTTCTTTGATCATTTTAATAATGGATTTCATGGTCCACTTAGTCTCAATTTATTTTATAAACCCCACATATATGAAAGCTTAATATCCTCCATGGTATGTATATATACATATATATATATACATACATATATATATACATATATATATATATATATATTTGTGTGTGCGTGCATGCAGAAGCCTGAAGGAGTTGCTGTCTCGTCTGCGAGGTCGACCTGTTGTAGCTCCTCTTTGTTTTCCCTCCACCACAGACCCTCCCTCCTCCTCCGACTTTAATTTACTTTAATTGATGTTCCTCTAAGTGGCGAGACAAGCTGGTGCATGCTGGTCCACCGCCTCGCTCCTGCTACAGGATTTTCCTAATTAGGATAATTGCCTTAAATCGATCACGCGGGGAGAGGCAGAACGGAAGAGAAACAACCAGTGTGTGTTATAAAAGCAGAAACAAGTCGCCTCAGACTTCCTCTGAAGATTGTACAAGAGATGATTTACAGTGTTCCTCATGAATCAGATTTAAACATGAACCTCCTCACTGGATGCACACACTGCTCACACAGAGGCTCACCTCTGAACTGTCCACCAGAACGCTTTCAAATAAATAAATGTAAGAAGTACTTTAACTTGAAGGGGAAGTTCTCCACCGGTTGTGTGGTTGTCCAGTCAGTGTTGATGGTAAACGTAGTCGATTGAAGCGATACATTCCTCAGTGCTGCTTTATTGACGCAGTGAGCTACAGGCTCTTCCTGCACCGTCACGTGACCTGAACTACAGAACTACAGGCTGCTTGGATATTTATTGGTGCATGTTAAATGTGATTTATGTGATATGAATCAGAGGTTCTTCATCTGAGGTGAGTGACGGCTCTCGAGAGAAGAGGTCCTCAAACCTTTTTAATCTTTGGGGCCATCGGAACTATTTGTATTCTAAAAGTCTTCAACCTAAATACTTGAGATTGGTTTGATACGATAAAGAGAAACACATGATAATATGAGATGAGAGGATCTTTTATTAGTCCCACCGTGGAGACATTTGCTTGTTTCATGTTGTTTTTTACTCTTTGCTGTTTTGTTCTTAAGACCGTTATCTGTGTTTTTATGCATATTTTATGTTTGCTGCTCATAAAAGAAATTTAAAATCTCAACAGGATTTTACTAGATAAATGGAGGTTGAATGTAAGAAATAAAATAAATGTTATTGAATATTAATACCACTCATATACGATTAAACAGAGGGTGGTTTAAGTAGCTGATAAGACTCACGTAGTCCTATCATAGAGCTCACGTTAAGCTAGTGCTTCAACTTAATACAATGTAATGAGAGTTTCCATTGGAGCTAATGGACACAGTCTGCTTGTATATCTGTAGATATGTACATGAAACAGCACAGCTTTATAATCTATAGCTAAATATTTGGCGGACCCCTTGACAGAGTGCCACGGACCCCTTGGGGTCCCCGGACCCCGCTTTGAGAATCCCTGCTCTGAAGAAGAGTCCCCAATTGTATAGTGTTTCAGAGCGACGGCGTCTTTTCACTCACAAACCATCTGAGTCCAGAGAAACTTTTCATTTGATTAGCGTTAGCTTAGCTTCATCGTCTCCAACATCTCGTGACTTTAACCAGCAAAGAGGAAGCTGCTGCCGGATGTTTTTATTCTGATCTTTGCTTCTAAAGAGTCAGGACGGATAAACGGTTTGATAAGAGATGTTATGTATGATGTAGTGTTTGACTTTAATTCGATTCATTCATTTTGTGCTTTTATTTTCCACTTTGGCTCTTTTTAAGTTATTTACCAGATTAACATTTTACATTCGAGAGAACTTGACTCGATAAAGTGCCGAACGTGCAGCATCGGGAAAGTAAAGGCGGGAAAAAAGAAGACTGTAAGCTCGTAAACATGGATGTGAACAGTTCAGCTCGGCTAATCTATGAGGAAACGCTTTAAACACGGTATCCACTGCTCACATGTCCGTGACGCTGGAAATACAATCCCGTGTAAACAGTAAGGAAAGAGCTTCTGCACACTATAACCTGCACATTTCATCAAATCACACGCCAGCGTTCGGTCATAGATCGGTCATAGATCAGTCATAGTCGCTTTGTGACCAAAAGCACGTATACTAATTAAATTGTGCGTGTGTGTCCAAGAGAGTGGACACCTCTTCAAAAGAAACTGTAAATCCGTGTTTCAGACAATTCGCAGCAAACTGCATTTAGACGTCATTACTTTGGCTCGTATATATGTGTGTTTATGTACTTGTCTGCACTTGTTTTGTACTTACTTTTATACATACTGTACCAGAATTCTTTGTTATCCTACATTACTTATATGCAGATACATTTATATCTGTGATAATATAATATTGGCCAATAATATCAGGCGACCCATTTATGGCTTGGGCTCTACTTCCTGGATGTCCCTGAGTGGCCGTTACAGTTTATCGTTGTTCTGTTTCTGTAACTTCTGAATGTTTGGAATTAAAAGCTGAAAAGTAAAAAAAGGAGAAGAAAGAAGCAAACGATGCTCAACTCAAAGCTAATACTTTTAAAAGGCTTTTTTTTACAATTTAAATAGTTTTTACTATTCGAGTCCTTCCTCCGCTGCAGCTACATCAGCGAGAAAAAGCTCAGCATGTGTGTGTGTGTGTGTGTGTGTGTGTGAGAAAGGTTTTCTTTACTTCTTCTGCAGTTGGTGCCGCGGTAGCCGGGAGCGCACACACAAGTTCCATCCTCCGGGGAGCAGGAGCCTCCGTTCTCACAGGTGCAGCTGTAGGAGCAGTTGGGTCCCCAGCGTCCCTCCTCACACACACCGTCGCAATGGACACCTGCAGGAAACACACACACACACACACACACACACACACACACACACACACACACTTTTAGTTCGGTGGGCTTTGTTCTCAGCTACTGAGCTTTTAAGTGAAGTCAAACTGACTTCACAGAGTTTCAGATGTGTCACTTATACTTGAAGAAGAGAGAATGATGCAAAAGAAAGAAGAACTTTGGGGTGAGGGAACATTAGCAAAGGGCTTTTTAAGCAGCTCCTCAGACATTGAGTCAGCAGGGGAGGACAGAGAGGGAAGGAGATGACGTGAGGACGGATGTGACGGATCAGAGAGACAATATGTTGAAGGAAACAGCTGCTGATATTCTATAGATTTCTTTCTGTATTTCTGAATGTATCAACTAACAAGTATTGTGTGTATCAAAGCCTGATGTATGTATTATTCTGAGCCACAGCTCCGTTGTTAAACTGTCTGACAAATTCAACCACAACGAATCTATTTCCTCCTGTTTGTTTAAAAAAAAGAAAAAGAAAAGACTACAACCTCCTGTTCCGAGGAGTGAAGTCAAAGCTTCATGTGTTAAAGCTGCATTCTCTCTAGTGTCCACCAGGGGGCGACTCCTCTGGTTGTATAGAAGTCTATGAGAAAATGACTCTACTTCTCTCTTGATTTATTACCTCAGTAAACATTGTAAACATGAGTTTATGGTCTCAATCTCTAGTTTCAAGTCTTCTTCAATACAGCATGATGTTCATTTGACAACATTATTCATTTCACAACATTATTCATTACTAATTAAATCATTCATTTCACAACATGCCATATCTATAAATTGTGAGAAGAGCGAATTTGTGCGTAAATTAAAGTTCATTTTTACTGCCATTTCCTCATCACCTTATATTATCTTGAACCGGTAAACCAGCCAATTAGAAGAGACGTATGTTTAATAAATCACAACTTTGTTGTATGCATGCGTCATTGAAAACAGAAACACTTGTTCATTACTCTTTTCATTTCCTCTGATCAGTTCAATAAACAGAGTACGCTCACTAGCCTTATACATTACATTTCATGTTATAGGTATAATGAACATTCAGGCTCCCTCATGTGGCTCAAAGGTGAACTGCAGATATAAATGTTAAATAAAAGACTCACAAACAATATCTCCTGCGACCCACCTGGGGGTCCCGACCCAGACCTTTGAGATTTATAGCAACACACTTTGTTTGCACATTTAAACTTGTATGAACAAACTGAAATTCACCCAAAGAGGCTTTTTGCCTTTTAATCAGCTGCTGAAGTGTCTCCTTCTTTCATCAGTCTTGCATGTGTGTGTGTGTGTGTGTGTGTGAGAGAGGCAGCAGTCTGTCTGGCTTGCAGAGCGGATCAGAGTCCTCGGTGCTCACAGGGGACAGTCTGCAGACCGCAGTGCCCGAGAGACTCACATTACATTAATTCTTAGCTACACCCACAGCCACACAGGAATAAGCTCAGCACATCTAAATATGAAGAACAGACGGACAGAGTAAGAATAGTGCATGTGCACCCCCCCCTCTCTGCAGACTGGCGGATCTGCAGCTCATTAGAAACTTCCTTTGACATGGAATATGAGAGAATATGAGAGTGGGGCACAGGCAGCCATTATAACTCAATTAGTAAACTACCTCTGAGAGAAAAGTGGGTGAAAATCAGGAGCTCAATTCGTGGAGGCTGTGAAGTTAAAAACAAAGAGAGGTGTAGGAGGAGGGGGGGGGGGGACGAGATACGAAGCAGAAGAAGGAACATTACGCTGTAAAGTTTAGGGAGCGCTAACACCTCGTATTCATCTCCCCACTGCAAGATGATTCAAAAATATGACACAAATAATATTCGTACTTCTGAACCAATTCAGTTCATGTAAAATGAAGGCAAACACGTAAGAATATGAATCCACTGTTTCATTCCTCTCCATGAACACGAGCTGCGTCCCAACTCCTCACGAACACACCACATATTCTTTCAGGGTTTCTGAACACTGAGACACGATCCAGCACACAGAACACTAAACTCCTGGATTCAGAGGGTGGAGTTAACGCACACTACCTTCCCACAATGCCGTTCTCAAGAGAAAGAACAGACACTTGCAGAAGTATTCAAACTAACAGTTGAGGAGTCGCTGTGAGACAGACTGAAGGGACATCAGGAGGACAATGTGTTAAAATCATCCAAAAGCATTTTGCTTTCTGTTCCTTCTAATGTTGAAGTTTTGACGTTAGTAATAAAATCTCCTGCGACACTTTAGATTAAACCCAGCTTAACTTTGACATTCTTGGAAACAACATAGACCCTTTATTTATTTATGTCAAGAGACCAGCAGTGAAGACGCAGACGTCTCTGGCAGAAACATGTAAATTTGTCTCCATCCTCTGGAAACACACTGCGTTGGATTCAAATTCAGACAACTTTATTTTTTTCCAAGAAGGGAAATTAATTTGTAGCTTTACGTGGAAACGCACGTTCCAGGTAGATTACTTTGTAACATGAACAGCATATATCTAATTGAACTGGCTGGTTGATACTCCAACAGAGAGACAGCTCAGTGAAGTACAACGATACGTTCTGCTGCTCGGAAACCATGGGGATTCTGTAGAACTGTTGGAATATTGATCCTGACAAACGAACATGCAACAACCAGACATTTTGATGCTGCGAACAGTTTTAATGTCATTTTTAAAGCTTGATAACTCGTCTGGATGCCTGAGACAAAAGAGCCACTTCTGCTGCGGACATGCACACTCATATTCTTGATGACGTCGGCTGTAAAAAGGTCTATTCTTGGTTTATTGTCTCCATCGTTGTCGTGGTGTCGACAGCACTACCTCCCCCAGACTCTTCTCTCTCAGAGTGTGCCTGTTCTGGTGCTTTCCTGAACATACCTGCTGCCAGGAGACTCTGACGGTCACATTGTTTTTACGTCCTAAAGCGTGGCTTCATAACTCACCTGTCCAACCTGCGACACAGCGACAGAAGCCGCTCACTGGATCACAGCCGTCAGCATTGGCGCAGTCACATCTCTCTCTGCAGTCCAGTCCGTACGATCCCTCCTGAAAGAGCCAGAACAAAGTAACTTATATTACCGTTTTTAAACTCCGGTACTATCAATGAGACACTGTGCAAAATACAAAGAGCCACGACGGGCGCTTACGGGACACGGTAGGTCGCAGTACTCGTCCCTCCAGCCTGGAGAGCAGGTGCAGGTGCCGTTGACGGGGTCGCAGGCCGCCCCGTTGGCACACTGACATGTCTGATTGCAGCTTAGTCCCCAAGCACCGCTGGAGCAAGGGATGGAGCAGTCCACACCCTGCCAACCTGAACAGAGACACAGTCCAAAGACCGCCAGGCGGACAATTTATCGGAGTTTATCGTATAAAGCAATCTGTTTGGAAAGGTTCTATCAAAATAAAGTTGACTTATCTATTTAAAACATTGCTACAATGACAATTATCACAACTTGGGTCTCACATTCATACTTTTCTCCATTACTTCTACCGGTTATGATAAAGTACTCAACTAAGTACTCGATGTGATCTGGGAACACAGCAACTATAATGCAATTAAGTCACAATCTGACATTATAATAATCTTATGTATATAAGAAGTGGACGTAGTCGTCGTAACGTCACTCATTGGTTTGTCGAATGACGTCTCCGACCAGGAATGTTTGCTGCAAATCAATCTGCATTTCTTTCCGCTCACTTCCTGTCGTCTCTCTATCGACTTTCTTTCTAATCAAGGCATGAACAACGAACGTGGACGTGTTGATGTTGGAGACATTTCTCGGCTATGAATTAACAATGCTTTTAAACACTTGTCTAATACAGTATTCATCTTGTTTCAGTTATTACTGGCTTTTATCCGAAAGAAGGCAACATATGCTGAAACATTGATACTTAGAGTTTAAATAAAAAACTGCTTGAGTGAGTGTCCTGATCTTCCCTCCTCCTCCTTCAGTGTAATTTCTTTAACACACAAAAGAAAATGTCAAAAATTCTTTTGATACGCAAACCAGTCGGACCCCCCGCCTCCTCACGCCTCTGAAGAAAAGAGACGTAGACCTGATAGTATATTGAGCTGTATAGATCATCAGATGTTTGCTCTACGAGCATCTATGGACAAAACATGTTTGATAAACGTCTTTAATCAGCCTGAACTTTTCCCTGATAACTTAATATAACTTATAGCTGTGACAGAAGAAGGAGACCAGGGTTCACAGGGTGATGACAGACACCCACTTGTTCCAGTGAAAGCTCTCCGGCCCCCGGCCCGAGCGCTCTGATGTCTCTCCACTTTAATTACCCACGTTCCCCCACGAGCATCAGCGGGGCATAAATATTTAATGGACGCTTTTATTGAGAGATATTAAGGAGGTGAAGTTGAGAACAAAGTACGAAACAAGGAGACCGTTGAGGTGGATACTTTTATATTTTTGGGACAGTGCGGAGTTTGACAGGTGACCTTAGAAAATGATTAATCTAAAACTTCAGATTCAGAATAAGAATCACAGAATTTGACTTCAAACTTTAAAAAACTGATATCTATAATAATCTATAAAAATAACAATTCTCAATAAACGAAAATAAGCCTCTGGAATATCAGTAAGTTATAGAATCTATGGTCATGAATCATAAC